GGCTGCATCTACAGTAAGCACACTTTGGATACTTGGCAAAGATTTCTGGGAGTACATAATTTTGAATGAAGTACTTGCACATTTTTTTGGACACCATTGATAGTTATCTCTGAATTCTACCATTGTTTCACATTTCACATAGTGACGCAGAGTATATGAATAGTTCTGCTAATAGTTTACACTTAGTGATGGTATGCTTGTTGCCAAGCGATTGATGCTGAAGTGCTGCATCTTAGTAGTTCATTTACACTGAATAATGGTTTTGAACAATTAAATTTGTCATCATTTTGGCTAAAGATTAAAAGGAGAATTTCCACTTTTAATAAAAGGCTATCTTGATAATATTACCTTTTACCACTGATTACGTATGTGAACTATCATTTCCCTCACTAATTCAGTTAAACACCAAAGATAGAAATCAGCTCAACACTATACCAGATATGCGTGTAGCATTGTCTTCATGTGTTTCAGATTGCTATGAACTATTTATGGACAACAAGCACATGTTATTAAATGAAAAATATTGTTTACCGTCTTTGCTAGCGTTTCTTGCAAAAAATCTGTATTCCTAAAAATGGAAATACTTTAATTTAATTGAAAAGGATCCATCTGAAAATATGCATTTATTATGTCAATTATAAATAAAGGAACATAATTCACATAATTGTGATTGGTATATTACATATAGGCATACTGGGTCGCAACACAAAATGCAGTTCTTGATGTAGGGCGCAGTAAAAAAGTTAGAAAAACTCTGATCTAGTGTAACTGTAGCGGAATGGCTAATCCACGTATGAACCTATTCACCTTGTCATTCCTTATTCTTTTATTCTCCTGTGAACATGGCATTATCCGTAACGCTTATCAGTTTTGTTTCTAATAATATGATAATGGGTGATTGTTATTCTACCATACTTCCATGCAACTCTGTCCCCATACTTATAAACCCTTCTGCATTAGTGTACATAATGTTGATTCTTGTCATCTCTACTGGGAGTGCTTTATCTGAGGTGTAGATGTTTCTGTTGTTTAATACTCATTCCTGCCAGTGAAAAGGATGTATGATGTTCCAGTATCATTGCACACAAGATTTAATAAACTATGCCCACTTAATACAATTACATTGATCTTAATAATACTAAGTACATACCCCTCCTCCCTTCCGACTTTCCCTTGTTCCTAGTAATTCCTGCCCCGTACCTGTACCGTTAACACGCGAGCACGTGACTGTCTCCAGGTCTCATGTGAGCCTTGCGATCCCAAAGACATATCGGCGTTGTCAGTGGCCATTTAGGTCTGCATGTAATAATCATAGTGGATTGTGGCTTGCAAGTTGAATTGCACTATGAATAATCTCTAAGCACGAAACATATTATGACTTCTATAGGAAGATTAGGGGTAAATATAATTATTAAATTTATAATAACTGCAGCTTCCATCGCGATCTGCAACTCTAAGGCCATAAGTTACAATGAGTGAGATGGCCACGATTGTCCCATGACATTCGTAGAGGGCGGTCGTCCAAGCTCTTAATTGCTGTGTATGTCTGTCTGTCGGGTAGGAGTGGCTGGGCGGGTACCGTCGCTGGGTACCTCATCGGACTGGGTATCCCCAATATTACCCTATATAGTACTCTCTATTGTATCGTTTGCTCGCTCTTGTACATATCTTGGCTGATATAATCATGGTATTTGCCTCCACCCTTCAAGTTTCTTTTTTTTCTGATAGTATATATTTAACTGAATTACTGTTCTTGAAGATAACTTTCACTGGCTGATTACTTTCATTCTGAAACCGACCGAAGTAATGTTCTACTTCAATTGTTGCCTCACTAGCCTGAATTTTGTATAGAATTTGTCATGTATTTTGGTGTGTCTTTTGCAAATTGTTTCCCGCAGGCTCTGGTAGTCTTTTCCTTCTCCAACTCCTGCATTGTGGTGATGGTGGTGGCAATGGTGGTATTGTTACCGTAACTATACTTGGTGGTGGTAGTGGTAATGGTGGTATTGCTACAGTAACTATGGATGGCGGTGGTCGTGGCAATGGTGGTATTGGCGGTGGTGGTGGCAGACGGGGGTGGTGGCGGAGTGGTGGTGGCGGGGTGTTGTGGCTGGCGCTGCGGTCGAGGCGGCGGCGGCAGCCATCAGTGTCGCTTTATTGCTTATAAATGTGCATGATCGACACCAATTCCCAGCACTCATGTTGAGGAGCAATCACGGGACGTCGCCCCCTCCTTGATGACGGCGGTGCTCTTACCACCCCCTCCCACGCCACGGCAACTACATAAACCACACCAACTACACCCTACTTGACCACGGCAATTACTTTCTACTTACAGCAGCTATACATCGTTGGCCACTCCAACTACTGCCTCCTTGACCACAGCAACTACTGCCTCCTTGACCACAGCAACTACTGCCTCCTTGACCACAGCAACTACTGCCTCCTTGACCACAGCAACTACTGCCTCCTTGACCACAGCAACTACTGCCTCCTTGACCACAGCAACTACTGCCTCCTTGACCACAGCAACTACTGCCTCCTTGACCACAGCAACTACTGCCTCCTTGACCACTCCAACTACTGCCTCCTTGACCACTCCAACTACTGCCTCCTTGACCACTCCAACTACTGCCTCCTTGACCACAGCAACTACTGCCTCCTTGACCACAGCAACTACTGCCTCCTTGACCACAGCAACTACTGCCTCCTTGACCACAGCAACTACTGCCTCCTTGACCACAGCAACTACTGCCTCCTTGACCACTCCAACTACTGCCTCCTTGACCACAGCAACTACTGCCTCCTTTACCACAACAACTACTGCCTCCTTGACCACTCCAACTACTGCCTCCTTGACCACAGCAACTACTGCCTCCTTTACCACAGCAACTACTGCCTCCTTGACCACTCCAACTACTGCCTCCTTGACCACAGTAACTACTGCCTCCTTGACCACTCCAACTACTGCCTCCTTGACCACAGCAACAACTGCCTCCTTGACCACAGCAACTACTGCCTCCTTGACCACAGCAACTACTGCCTCCTTGACCACTCCAACTACTGCCTCCTTGACCACAGTAACTACTGCCTCCTTGACCACAGCAACTACTGCCTCCTTGACCACAGCAACTACTGCCTCCTTGACCACTCCAACTACTGCCTCCTTGACCACTCCAACTACTGCCTCCTTGACCACTCCAACTACTGCCTCCTTGACCACAGCAACTCCTGCCTCCTTGACCACTCCAACTACTGCCTCCTTGACCACTCCAACTACTGCCTCCTTGACCACTCCAACTACTGCCTCCTTGACCACAGTAACTACTGCCTCCTTGACCACAGCAACTACTGCCTCCTTGACCACAGCAACTACTGCCTCCTTGACCACTCCAACTACTGCCTCCTTGACCACAGTAACTACTGCCTCCTTGACCACTCCAACTACTGCCTCCTTGACCACTCCAACTACTGCCTCCTTGACCACAGCAACTACTGCCTCCTTGACCACAGAAACTACTGCCTCTTTGACCACAGCAACTACTGCCTCCTTGACCACAGCAACTACTGCCTCCTTGACCACAGTAACTACTGCCTCCTTGACCACTCCAACTACTGCCTCCTTGACCACTCCAACTACTGCCTCCTTGACCACAGTAACTACTGCCTCCTTGACCACAGCAACTACTGCCTCCTTGACCACTCCAACTACTGCCTCCTTGACCACTCCAACTACTGCCTCCTTTACCACAGCAACTACTGCCTCCTTGACCACTCCAACTACTGCCTCCTTGACCACTCCAACTACTGCCTCCTTGACCACAGTAACTACTGCCTCCTTGACCACAGCAACTACTGCCTCCTTGACCACTCCAACTACTGCCTCCTTGACCACAGTAACTACTGCCTCCTTGACCACTCCAACTACTGCCTCCTTGACCACAGTAACTACTGCCTCCTTGACCACAGCAACTACTGCCTCCTTGACCACTCCAACTACTGCCTCCTTGACCACTCCAACTACTGCCTCCTTGACCACAGTAACTACTGCCTCCTTGACCACAGCAACTACTGCCTCCTTGACCACAGCAACTACTGCCTCCTTGACCACAGCAACTACTGCCTCCTTGACCACAGTTACTACTGCCTCCTTGACTAGTGGTGCCACCTCCATCCACCACTGCCGCCACCACCACCACTGCCACCACCGCCACCACCACCACTGCCACCACTGCCACCACCACCCGCTGCCACATTCCCGTTATATTATCGCTAAAACATTATGCACAAACTTTAAGAGTGGTCTAATATAGGCACGTACAGTTCAGCTATGTAAATCATTAACTGTCTGAGTGCTAGTAGTGGCAAGTCGGACATAGGTACTGAATGAGAGATGAATCCCTCCTGGAGTCTGACACAGAACAAGAGCTGGCAGATCATATCACTCAGTCTCTGTCTCCCTGCATGAAAGTCAGGGAGGTATACTATCTTTTATACTATATATACTTTACACTTCTTATACTAGCTTCGGCAGTATAAAAAATACCTCCAGAAGTCTGAACAAGCCGTTCAGGACCATGTACAGCACACAGGTCAGGCTTGTTCTGGAAAATGTGGTGCCAGGGAGGCTTCCATGTCTGATAAAGCCCAAAATGTACTTGGAGAACTCCAGAGATGTAACACCAAGCTGGTCGAAGAGCAAAGGGAGGAGAGTAATGATGAAGGACTGAAAGAATTAAGCTTTATATCGCTGGAAATGTGAAGAAATAGTTGAGACATGATCACCACAAACATCATAATCTGGAGAATAAACATCTAATTTGGCATTTGTGTTACATGAAGAAGGTGACTTAGGACACCACGGTGTCTTAACTCATCCTTCTTTGAGACATTCGCCCATAACCAGCGTGAAGAATAGGAAAATTTCGATTTATATTAGGGTAAATGCACTTATGTAATGAGGTTAATTTTAGTTTGTATCTGTAAATAATTGCATTATTATGGTCGAACAAATTGGCGACTGGTGGAACTCGGACATATCCGTTGACGATGCTTTCCATGTTAGTGGAGGCCTGTGGTGTCATGAGTTAGCATGATAGCCCATGATTGGGCCGCGGTCCATATTTCCTTGTTTGACTTCACGGAAAGAGTGCTTCCGACTTTGGAGCTCTGCGAACATTAGAGCCTCGGTTTTTGTTTCTTGGTAGGCCGGAGTGACCCATAGGATGTGGATCCTCTGGGACCCATAGGTTCACATCTCCATGTATCCGAGGACCCACATCCAACATCAAATCATATATCAGACGTCACCCTATCCCCACTGGATTTTGAAGAAGCCATAAACAGTATGCCTATGCACTCTGCACCAGGCCCGGATTCTTGGAACTCCATATTCATAAAGAACTGTAAAAAACCACTATCGCAGGCCCTCCACATTCTGTGGAGACAAAGCCTAGATACTGGCGTTATTCCTGATATACTAAAAACAGCAGAGATAGCACCACTTCATAAAGGAGGAAATAAGGCAGAGACAAAAAATTACAGACCGATAGCACTAACATCGCACATCATAAAAAATTTTGAGAGTGCGGTAAGAAGTAAAATCACAAAATACATGGAATCACAGCAACTCCATAACCCCGGACAACATGGTTTCAGAACAGGGCGCTCTTGCCTGTCGCAGTTGCTGGACCACTATGATATGGCATTAGATGCTATGGAAGACAAACAAAACGCGGATGTAATTTACACAGATTTCGCAAAAGCTTTTGATAAATGTGACCATGGTGTTATTGCACATAAAATGCGTTCAAAAGGAATTACCGGAAAAATAGGCAGATGGATCTACAATTTCCTGACCAACAGAACCCAATGTGTAATAGTCAACAAAATAAAATCCAGCCCATCAACCGTGAAGAGCTCAGTCCCCCAGGGTACTGTGCTTGCTCCAGTACTTTTTCTCATCCTCATTTCGGACATAGACAAGAACACAACCTATAGCACTGTATCATCCTTTGCAGATGACACTAGGATCTTCATGAGAGTAGGCAACATAGAGGACACGGCGAACCTCCAGTCAGATGTTGATCAGGTCTTTCTATGGGCTACAGAAAATAATATGGTGTTTAACGAAGATAAGTTCCAGCTCATGCGCTATGGAAAAAATGAAAATATATAAACGGAAACCACGTACAAAACTCAGGCAAATCATAACATAGAACGAAAAGGCAATGTAAAGGATCTGGGTGTACTCATGTCGGAAGACCTTACCTTTAAAGAACACAATAAAGTAGCCATCACAACTGCAAGAAAAATGACAGGTTGGATAACAAGAACTTTTCACACTAGAGATGCTATACCGATGATGATACTTTTCAAAACGCTTGTGCTCTCTAGAGTAGAGTACTGCTGCACAATGACAGCACCTTTCAAAGCTGGAGAAATTGCTGACCTGGAGAGCGTGCAGAGATCCTTTACTGCCAGAATCCACTCAGTAAAACATCTAAACTATTGGGACCGACTAAAGAGCCTAAAACTGTACTCCCTTGAGCGCAGGCGGGAGAGGTACATAATAATTTACACGTGGAAAATATTGGAGGGGCTGGTCCCAAACCCGCACACAGAAATAACATCACATGAGACCAGAAGACATGGCAGGATGTGCAGAATACCCCCGTTGAAAAACAGAGGTGCAACTGGTACTCTGAGAGAGAACTCTATCAACATCAGAGGTCCGAGACTGTTCAACACGCTTCCGCTACACATAAGGGACATAACTGGCCGACCCCTCACAGTGTTCAAGAGAGAACTGGATAAGCACCTCCAAAGGATACCTGATCAACCAGGCTGTGACTCATACGTCAGGCTGCGAGCAGCCGCGTCCAACAGCCTGGTTGATCAGTCCGGCAACCAGGAGGCCTGGTCGACGACCGGGCCGCGGGGACGCTAAGCCCCGGAAGCACCTCAAGGTAACCTCAAGGTAAGGTAATCTTATCTTTCTTATTCATAAGAAATATTTATTTTGTGTGGGGAGTTTGGAGCAGGAGGTTCTTCTGTCATGGAAGGCGTGTACATTATTACAGTAAGCTGGACGCGTGTTAAGTCCTTGGGTATCCGATATAGAACACTCACATACGCGTATTACAACTACCAGATTCTCTTAAGTTGACATCCAACTGGTTTAATCTTAGAGTGCAGATTCGAGGTTATTTTTGACTGATAAATTTGTGAGTGAATTGCTGCTGCAAGCATTTACTAAAATGACCAATGGCGGCCCACCAAACAGTTGTATGTCGATGTCAACTTCATTTGGGTGTTTATCGATGGGGCAAGCTTGCGAATACAGATGACTTAGCGTTCATAGCTTTCTATGGTCACTGGTGCCTGTGGTGGTGGTGGTGGTTTGACTACGTCGTGACGATAGAGAATGGCGTTGTGGATCTGTGAGTGAAGTTGTTATATACCTCCTTCCTACAAATGTAGTGAAAGACGCTAACTGGCAGATGGCAGAGATATAGATATGGCAGAACTTTCAGTAGGAGAGATTGCTGAAATAGAGGGAATACAGAGAACATATACGGCATACATAGACGCGATAAAGCACCTATATTATTGTGATTGCCTCAAAGCTCTCCAAATGTACTCACTAGAAAAGAGACGAGAGAGATACTAAATAATATACACGTGGAAAATACTGGAGGGCCAGGTCCAAAATCTGCACAGTAAAATAACAACGTACTGGAGTGAAAGATATGGGAGAAAATGCAGAATAGAACCATTGAAGAGCAGAGGTGCCATAGGCACGATCAGAGAACACTGTATAAACATCAGAGGTCCGTAGTTGTTCAACGTCTTACCAGCGAACATAAGAAATATTGCCGGAACAACCGTGGACATCTTTAAGAGAAAACTAGATAGTTTTCTTCAAGGAGTGCCGGACCAACCGGGCTGTGGTGGGTATGTGGGCTTGCGGGCCGCTCCAAGCAACAGCCTGGTGGACCAAACTCTCACAAGTCAAGCCTGGCCTCGGGCCGGGCTTGGGGAGTAGAACTCCCAGAACCCCATCAACCAGGTAACCCAAAAGGCAAGTAACCGTACCCATCACGGCTACACCCATCACGGCTACACCCACCACGGCTACACCCACCACGGCTACACCCACCACGGCTACACCCACCACGGCTACACCCATCACGGCTACACCCACCACGGCTACACCCATCACGGCTACACCCATCACGGCTACACCCATCACGGTTACACCCACCACGGCTACACCCACCACGGCTACACCCATCACGGCTACACCCACCACGGCTACACCCACCACGGCTACACCCACCACGGCTACACCCACCACGGCTACACCCATCACGGCTACACACATCACGGCTACACCCATCACGGCTACACCCATCACGGCTACACCCATCACGGCTACACCCACCACGGCTACACCCACCACGGCTACACCCACCACGGCTACACCCACCACGGCTACACCCATCACGGCTACACCCATCACGGCTACACCCACCACGGCTACACCCACCACGGCTACACCCATCACGGCTACACCCACCACGGCTACACCCATCACGGCTACACCCATCACGGCTACACCCATCACGGCTACACCCATCACGGCTACACCCACCACGGCTACACCCACCACGGCTACACCCATCACGGCTACACCCATCACGGCTACACCCACCACGGCTACACCCATCACATGCAGTAAAGCAATACCAAATAGATCACAGACACTCGGGGAAACTTTTGGAAAAAAGAAGAATACAAGACCTGAGGGGAGCTCCAACCGAGTACAATACCTTGCATCAAAGTCGCCGCAGGAAATAAGCTTTACGAAGACAGAAAACAAGAAGAAGAATTCATGAAATATAGGGAAAATACATTCGTAATAAACACTGTGGAAAATGTCAACTTTTATCTCAAAACAAAAGAGCAGTTAGAAATTTTGTTGCACCTTAACATGCACTATGAGTGCGACCTTATAAACTACCTAACCATCGAGAAGGTTAAAAATATATATAGGTTTTAAAGCACCTGGCATTAGTAAAGTAAACAAAGTGGTATAAACAAACCATCAATATTCACTCGAATATTAATGCAGATATTGCATCAGGACTATTCCCCGCCTACTTAAAAAAACTATTATCAAATTAAATCCTAAGCCAGGAAAACCCTAAAACCAACTGGAAACAACAGACTCATTTTCCTTCTTGGGATATCGGGTAAAATATTCGAAAAAACAAAAATAGTAAACCAGAGACTGGTGAAGTAATGAAAGGGATCAGTAGTATAACATTAGACAACATGGATTAAAACCCCACAGAGCGTCCCACCTTGGTATTGCCCTAATCTACGAGTTTATAAACAATACCATGACGAAAAAGGAGCAGTGCAATACTGTGTTCCGAGATGTCTGGAAAACCTTCGACAAAAATCTGTCACACAGGCCTAAAATGCAAGACATCAAATCTAGAGCATTACTACTGAGGTTCACTGCCTCGATAAACCTTCATAGACAAGAGAAGAGTTAAAAGAAGCTGTGGGAACTTCTTGATTGTCGAAATCGAAGTGAAAAGTTGAGCGACCTTTATTCAAACTCTTTTCAACACATTCTCAGCTGACCTGTCCCCTCACCAACGTGGCAAATACAATCACAAGTGCTGACAACGGAACTGAAATAATCGGTCACCCAAGATACTTAGAGAGAGATTACTGGTAAATTAAACCAAGGTGGCAACAGAATTAACCAAGAACTTAGTGTTTATTTTCCATTGCTTTTCTAACAAATACAAATTCCAAATAATGCACCTTGCAAGACGAAATCCAGAGCACATATTCCTCGGCAACGCCCCAATCCAACATACACAATGCATGCAGACTCAAAATCAATAGAACAGTAATTCCCATAAATTACAGAATAAGCATGGCAAGAACAACCTTGGACAAACTGAGAAGAATCAGTAACCTTAGCACGAACATGCAGCTGAATTTATACATGGCTGTAGTCCGGCCGCGTCTCTAGTATCCTCCAGTACCACTTTAAGGCGAGCTACCATGCAAAACTACATGCGGTGCAAAACAAGGCACTAAGGGCCGCAAAATACCGTCCACCATATGAACAGGCAATCCAGGAGCTCCCTGAGTTCGTGAATATACTGTACAGCTACTGATCATCAGACTACACCAGCAAACCACACCACCGCCACGCCCATCCACTACGGCCACACCCACCTTCCATCACAACCACACCCACCCTCCATCACAGCCACACCCACCCTCCATCACAGCCACACCCACCCTCCATCACAACCACACCCACCCTCCATCACAACCACACCCACCCTCCATCACAGCCACACCCACCCTCCATCACAGCCACACCCACCCTCCATCACAGCCACACCCACCCTCCATCACAACCACACCCACCCTCCATCACAACCACACCCACCCTCCATCACAGCCACACCCACCCTCCATCACAACCACACCCACCCTCCATCACAACCACACCCACCCTCCATCACAGCCACACCCACCCTCCATCACAACCACACCCACCCTCCATCACAACCACACCCACCCTCCATCACAGCCACACCCACCCTCCATCACAGCCACACCCACCCTCCATCACAACCACACCCACCCTCCATCACAACCACACCCACCCTCCATCACAACCACACCCACCCTCCATCACAGCCACACCCACCCTCCATCACAACCACACCCACCCTCCATCACAACCACACCCACCCTCCATCACAACCACACCCACCCTCCATCACAACCACACCCACCCTCCATCACAGCCTCTACATTAGTTTTTCTTACTAGAGTTAGCGTTTATATCGACCTTTGAGAGAATGAAAACAGGAAAATAATAGCATAGGATCTCTCGATACCGTAAAGTAACCTCCCAGGGATTGTAAAATCCCAACCTGGGTTGTAGGATAATTGTTGGCATGTACTAAAGATATTTCTTTCTTATACACGTTACGAGCAGTATTATGAACACAGGCCATCCGTATTATTGAGGTTATTGACCCGTCCATTGGTATGCATTAACACTGTCATTAATGCATAACATTGACCAGAAAAAGTATAGTACCGAGCATAGCGTGATGTTTGTCGTCTAATGTTGACTGGAGGTAATGAAGGGTATCAGATCCATAATCTGTAATCAAAAGGGTCAACGAACCCATCCTCTGGTGTCGTAGTCCAAAGAACACCGTTTAAAGCATTACCCAGAGCTCATGGTGTAATTTAAGAGCCTCAGACAATTTTTCTCCACTCACTGCTTGCAAGAATTGGAAGCTATTCAGGAAAAAAAATCACCCTGACTGTGATTTGTATCTTGCTTGTGGTGAGCTGTAATTGACCATCGTTCGTCCTGTAGAAGTTGGTGATATGACTTTATAGTCTTGTCTAACTCCTGGTCGCTCGTTTCATCTTAGCAATGTGAAATAAGTTTTTCATAAAAGAAGCTTTTTATCTCAATTATTCATCCTACAAGAATGATTAAAATGATAACTCATGCAGGCCGTTAGAATCATGCACTTGTGTCCTACTCATGGTTGGCGTGGAGGCCCATTTACCCCCCCACAGCCGTATTAAAAAAAATAATTTAATATGGTTCAAGTTTCAGTTATTTCTATTCTAATTTATACCTTCATGTTTTATCTACTGATTAGATAGATAAAAAACCAACCTGCTTAAACTCGGGCAGGTTGGATTTTAAGTTTGTTATATATATATATATATATATATATATATATATATATATATATATATATATATATATATATATATATATATATATAATATAAATATATATATAAATATAAATATACCTGTGTTCTACACTTCAATTACTTGGGACATCTCTTTACGCTTCTAGGCCGAACTACCTCTCACACTCCACCACTTAGTCTTCCATAATCCAGACTGACGATTGTTTTTAAACCTGCGCAAGTTCATGGGCATTTATGTGACTAACGTAAACCGCATGGATGGTTAGAGAGTTTGTGTGGAGTGCTACTGCAGGCGATTACAGTCTCGTAGGGTAGTTTGCCATACAGGGGCATGAAGTGAGCCAGCACTAACAGCCTTCGGATGGCTTACAAGGCATCATCAAGAACTGGAGAGTGGATGAGGTAATTGCAAAGTTCTTGGCACCTGACACCGACAGGTCTAAAGACGATGTTTAGTTAAGTGCTCAGGTTCAAGTCAGTCTGGTTGACAGGTTGGCAGTTATGTGGGAGCTGGCGCTGTGCTTGCTGGTTTTGCTGTGGTTTTTTGTATTGCTGTAGGTGTTTTGGGGTGTAATTTGTTGGTGTGTGGTGAGGTGTAGAACGTAGTTTGTGGTGGTAGTGTGTTACCTCCTTGACTTTGTGGACGTTACTCGTGGCTCCTCCACCTGCTGTCACTGGACGTTACTCGTGGCTCCTCCACCTGCTGTCACTGGATGTTACTCGTGGCTCCTCCACCTGCTGTCACTGGACGTTACTCGTGGCTCCTCCACCTGCTGTCACTGGACGTTACTCGTGGCTCCTCCACCTGCTGTCACTGGACGTTACTCGTGGCTCCTCCACCTGCTGTCACTGGATGTTACTCGTGGCTCCTCCACCTGCTGTCACTGGACGTTACTCGTGGCTCCTCCACCTGCTGTCACTGGACGTTACTCGTGGCTCCTCCACCTGCTGTCACTGGATGTTACTCGTGGCTCCTCCACCTGCTGTCACTGGACGTTACTCGTGGCTCCTCCACCTGCTGTCACTGGACGTTACTCGTGGCTCCTCCACCTGCTGTCACTGGATGTTACTCGTGGCTCCTCCACCTGCTGTCACTGGACGTTACTCGTGGCTCCTCCACCTGCTGTCACTGGACGTTACTCGTGGCTCCTCCACCTGCTGTCACTGGACGTTACTCGTGGCTCCTCCACCTGCTGTCACTGGACGTTACTCGTGGCTCCTCCACCTGCTGTCACTGGACGTTACTCGTGGCTCCTCCACCTGCTGTCACTGGATGTTACTCGTGGCTCCAACACCTGCTGTCACTGGACGTTACTCGTGGCTCCTCCACCTGCTGTCACTGGACGTTACTCGTGGCTCCTCCACCTGCTGTCACTGGATGTTACTCGTGGCTCCAACACCTGCTGTCACTGGACGTTACTCGTGGCTCCTCCACCTGCTGTCACTGGACGTTACTCGTGGCTCCTCCACCTGCTGTCACTGGACGTTACTCGTAACTCTACCTACTCTCGTGTCATGGTCCTTTTTAATCTGTGGGTTTTATTTCTCTGTGGAAACCTTATTTTAAGATTTTCCAGTTAAGTAAAAATATTGCCAGTATCTAGTCTTCGTTTACCAAAATAATTTAGTACTTTGTATACTCCATATTATTTTTACCCATGCATGTAAACTGTGTGTTTACAACTGTGCAGGCAGCCAAGATATTAATATCACAACTGGGACTCCTTATTGTTACATAGCGTGATATTCTCTACCTGCCAAGTGTATTTACTCCATTAACCAGCGAGTGGTTTTGTTTACCCGTACATATTTACTTTTATTTTATTCATAAACGTTCAAGGCCAAATCAAGGGGTCGTATCATTAGTGCGTTGTTACAGGTAAAGTTTACACGTATATTTCGTCGCTTTGGTCTGACAATCATCACGTGTGTCGGTACGTGCATTGTGTACCTCGTGTCACTACGACGCGCGGGATTCCAACCCGGGACGAATCTTTTTGTAGTCGAAAATCGGTAAATTTCTAGATACACTTATTTGGTATTTTTGGTGGGCAATTTATAATAGTTTAAATTATATGGAAGTCAAATTACGTGTTTTCGACAATTTGGCCATCTCCGCGGGTTCAAAATACTCAATATATCACCTAATATACAGTCCACTTTCCACAGTAATATCATGTATTTTCCATCGACTGATTTATTGTCGAAGGAACGTTGCTGGAACTGTGGACTGAATCGTGAGTCTTATGGCCTGTTTGTGTCGTTGACAGTATACTGATTTTGTAATTTTGTTTCTTGGTCTTATTTCTCTTTCTTCTCATTCTGTCCCTATCTTTCTTTGTCTGCCTCTCTGTCCCTTTGTTATTGTCTGCCTCTCGTTCTGTTTGTCTTCCTCTCTCTCTCTTTGCCTTGGTCGACCCGGTGTCTCTGCACGCCTATCTCTGTATATTTGTCTGTCTGTCTCATTCTGTCTTTTTGCTGACAGAATAAGCTATATATATATATATATATATATATATATATATATATATATATATATATATATATATATATATATATATATATATATATATATATATATATCTCTCTCTCTCTCTCTCTCTCTCTCTCTCTCTCTCTCTCTCTCTCTCTCTCTCTCTCTCTCTCTCTCTCTCTCTCTCTCTCTCTCTCTCTCTCTCTCTCTCTCTCTCTCTCTCTCTCTCCTCTCTCCTCCCTCCCCCCCCTCCCCCCCTCCCTCCCTCCCCCTCCCTCCCCCCCCCTCCCTCCCTCCCTCC